TTGAATGAAAGTAGTGGAGTAAAAGTACTGATACAGCAATAAAAATATACTCAAGGGAGAGTAAAAGTACACATCTGTAAAACCACTTAATACAATTCAATTCCAGAGAAAAAGACTGCTCAATTACACTAATTTGAGTATTTGTAAATTGTTACTATACACCACTGGTGGTACATCTTCATCTGTTACTGTAATTAAGTAGTTAAAATGCTGAAAATGTCTTATTTTATCATTCTGTTATATTATATAATTTCTTATATTACAAAAAATTGTGTTTGTATTGTGTTGTTCCGTTTGATTAGAAATTCGATTAAACTCAAAACACAAATGAAAATATTTTAATCAAATCAGAATTATTAAACCCTCTTTTTCATTTTTCTTTCTTTTTCAAATATTTCCCAAATGATGTTTAACAGAGCAAAGAAATGTTCACAGTACGTCTGATGATATTTTTTTCCGGAAAAAGTCTTATTTGTGTTTTTTTTTTTTTTACTAGAATAAAAGCAGTTTTTATATTAAAAAAATAAATAAATAAACATTTTAGGGGCAAAATTATTAGCCCCTTTAAGCTATATATATTTTTTTTCTGGTAGTCTACTCAACAAACCATCATTATACAATAACTATACAATAACATCATTATACAATCCATTTCTAACTTTTATGTTTAGAAATGTGTTGAGGAAATCTTCCCTCTGTAAATAGAAACGGGAAAAAATAAACAGGGGGTCTAATAATTCAGGGGGGCTAATAACTGACTTCATTTGTAAATAAGATTGTGAAATAAGCGACTTAAACCTAGACTTAAGAAGAGACTTGATTTCTTTTATATTATTTAATTTTCTGATTTTATTTACATATAAAGATTAATCAGTCAACAGTATTTACAGCATTTTAATTTATTGATGGATGCTCCATTATGCCTGATTTACAAGAAACAATGATGTTTATTGTTGCCATTGCAGCATATTTGAGCTTCCGCAATGAGGTTTTCGATTGTTTCAAGCAGGTGTAGTTGACTTCTGTTTTTTGTCAGCTGATCAGTTTAAATATGAGAAAAAAAAGTTTTAAGTTTGGATTTCTTTACTTAAATTTAGTAGCACCAGAATCTCATTCAGTGAAGGGACAAAAATCTCTTAAGAATTTTAGTTTTGAGGTAAACTAAACCTTTGTATAATGGAATGTTCTTTAAAAATGTCAATATTTTATGAGTTTAGTTACAGACAATGTAATCTGAGAAGCTGGTGGAAATGAAATTAACATGATAAAATGTAAGTTTTTTAATGAGTAAAAAGTTACTTTTCTCTGACTTTTTTCTCTACAGTGGGTCATGGGATTTACCTCATTTCTCTTACCTTGCACCCCAATGGCCGTGCGTGCTTTTGTAAAGCCAACTCATGTTTGGATGGGAGCAATGATCTTGGTACTGAGCATTGTGTCCTGCATCTCAGGGATCAACGAAAAGCTCTTTTTTGTACTGTAAGTGATTGCATATTACATAACTTATATTACCTCTTCCAGGTAAACATACAGGGTTTCTACGGGATCTTAAAAAGTCTTAAATCTCAAAATCCAAATGTTAGGGCTTAAAAAGTTTTAAATATACTTATAAATATTGTGTTGTGGGTCTTAAATCTTGTTTAAACGGGTCTTAAGTTTCCTTTGTTCATGTATTGCTACCCAATCTGGCAAAACCCATACAATATATTGGTGTCATAGTTATATAATAATATATAATAGCTGTTGGTTATTTTTTTATAATTTCAATTTCTGTATTAAAAATCTACTGCTATATTTGCACATGGCTATATGAAATTGTGGATAGACCCACTGTAGTGGTGTGATGACGCATGCACACAACTCATCTGCAAGCTCAGTGATAGTCCGTTTTTAAAAGACACGGGATGGTTATCAGGATGTTTGTGCAGCATGGCTCCTTTCAGATCAAATTAATTGTTAATTTTTATTTTAAAACAATATGACTTATTGAAATGTGCGTAACGAACAACTGTATTAATGCCTCCCTCATTTGAAATGATTCGTGGTCCAACTTCGGGAAGTGGAAGTTTTATGGTTTTAACAATATTAAAACTGTCATTAGAAAAGTGTTTAGTAAAGCAACCTATTGCTTTCATGTAATGTCAAAATAAAGGTTGTTTCATTTAAAAAATGCTAACATAAATAAATATATAGCCTATAACTGGCCTTTATATGAGAAATATGTTGTCTTAATTAGGAAAATATGTCTTAACAAAATCCTGTTATAACAAGAAAATGCCTTTTATAACGTTAAGTGGAAAAAAGAATATAGCCTATAGTAGGTTAGTATAGATATATACACTAGATATCGCATAGGGGCCCTGAGCATGCGTCAATAGCGCCGCCACATTGGTACAGTGCTCCCAGGACAAATGTCATTCAACCGCACTAGTCAAGACAGTGTTACTACGTGAAGATGTGGGACTTTAGCACTGTCTACGGGTGTAGTAACGAGCAAACAAAGAAAACAAAGCACAAAGGCAGAACATTTCATAGGTAAAATTACGTTTTTTTCTGTTTTTGTATGTTCTAAACTTTTGTGCTAATCGGGTAACGTTATTGATGATGACAGTCACTTACTGCATTCACCATACGGCAAAGCAGCTCCAACTCGCACTAAACACTTGGCTTATGCTAGTTTTGTTAAATAAAATCAGCAAACAATGCAAAAGAAATATGACAACGAGATGCTGCGCTGCCAGAAACTTGTGTTATTGTCGGCTAGTGAAAAAGTCGTCGAATCGAATCGCTCCCTCCGTCAGTATGAGAAGTGAAAGTAGGAGAGGAGGTGTGTTTCAGGACACGGATTAGATTAAATTTAACAGGGAGGGTGAATAGTACATTTCTGTCCACACAAACACAAGCTTTTTGTCAGGAATGCCAGTGCGATCACTGATCCATCAATGTAGAAAAGTGATGTAAAATTATAATTTTCATAATTAGAAAAAAAAATTACATACTAACATCCAGGAAAACTCCTGATCATAGATATGTGTGTATATGCGTATATCTCTGGCTTTGGATGGCCACAGTCCTCCACTGTACCTTGGTCCCGCATTCATTTCAAAGGAGCGCTACCCTGTAGCAAGATGGCAGCGCTATTGACGCATTCCGTCCAATAGACAACAATAGGCCAGACGACATCTAATGTATATATCTATGGTAGGCTAGCAGGTCAGCATTGTGTCATCGAGTTGGCCTATCGAAATATAAAAAAAACAAGAAACAAGTCTTTGGTTTTTGTTTTCTAGGGATTTTATTTTTTGTAACTCAAAATAAAAAAATTTAAATCAAATCATTTTTTAATTTTGTTTTTCGGTTTTTCACCATGAAAAAGAAAAACGAGCCGTTTTTTGATTTTCGTTTTCAAATTTAAAAACCAAAATCAATAAACTCATTGAGTTTCAATGTTCGTTTTTAATTTTAAAACGAAAATCAAAAAAACTGCTTGTTTTTTTCGTTTTTCAATATCCATTTCTAAAATGAAAATTCAATGATTAAAAAAGATACACTGAGCTTTTCTAATATTAAACAGATCTTAGTAAACCTTTACTATTGTTGTTTGAGTGGGTAGATTTGATCATGCTGTTATCTGTTGGCTATGTTTTAAAACTTGAAATGTGAGATAAAAAGGCTGAATAAAGAACATTGACTAATAAATGCAGAGCTTACAGTACCACGACAAACGCATTGTTCTATTGGTTCTTCCCTCAGAAAGGAAACCACCAATGGGACAAAGCCTTATTCTGCCTTGCCACCAGAGGCAGTTGCTGCTAATTCTTTGGGAGTCATCATTGTAGCATTTGGATTGGTTGTTTTAAAAATCTTATCCAATCAGATGTGGCAACGTCCTGAGCCTGGCGATGATGAGGGAGTTTACAGGGTGAGATTTTTTTTTTGTTTTTTTTCTCTCTCAATTTGATCGGTTAATAACTATTTGGACCAATGTTTTTCTGACAGAGTTGAATTTGTATATGTTTTGCTCTCATTTTCAGCCACTTGCTTATGATGGAAGCTGATGTCTCAGAGATGAATGTCTGAAAGCAGTATGTTTAATTGCATTCTGGATTCCAAAGAAATCAAAGTTACAAAATATTATCTTTATGTTTCTTGTTACTCAGAGCTGGAAAGACTTTTTTTTTTTGCTTAAGATTTGAGTGTGCTCTGTTGCTCTTGCTTTTGGAAATAGTGTAACGCATAAGGCAAAATATCAAATATTGTCATTGCTGAATATAAGTGCTTTTGCTTATTTATTACTTGTGAAGATCTCTGTGTATAATAAATGATTAAAACATTTTCTAAAACACCAGTTTGCCTCTGTGAGGAAAAATCAGATCAGACTATTGCCTCTTTGTTTGTAAACCGGTTTAAACTGGTTAGGAAGGGCATTCAAGCCAGGGGGGAGGGGGCGAGCGTCGTCATCAGCAAATAACCAATAGGAACATAGGCGAAATCACACCAATCAAAACACTGCGCGGAGGTCTGCAAAATTTGCATATTTCGTTGCAAAATAGCATGCTACTTGAGGTTTTTACACGATGTAATGCAATGCAGCTTACAGAATGAAACAAAGTACCTAAATAAACAGAAGTATTTTGAAACGTTGTCGAGCACAATGAGGGGTATCTTTCTCCAAAAGTACCAATGGGAATTGAAGTATCTTAAAACGTCAAGTGGGAAACAATTTTTAGAAGCAGGTTTATATTCACTACTTAAATATGAACAACAACTCAAAATTAAGTATACCGTAAAACATTTTATTGAATATTTCCTTCATTTCTATGATCCTCCCGCAATCAAATAAGTCAGAGCAAGAAACTGAAGCACAATGGCGTACCCTATGAATAGTTTGTTGTTCTGCGCTGTTTCCATCAACTCCGCCTACAAGGCATCGTGGTGTGCATGGTCTCAACTAGGTCCGCTTTAAATGTATACTTGCCTGTGTTCTCCAGTGTGCGCCCATATTGACTTCGCGGATCGAGATTAAGAGTACGTAATCATGTCTGGACGAGGCAAAGGCGGCAAAGGGCTCGGAAAAGGTGGCGCTAAACGCCATCGTAAAGTTCTTAGAGACAACATCCAAGGCATTACAAAGCCGGCTATTCGCCGTCTAGCGCGTCGTGGCGGTGTAAAGCGTATTTCTGGTCTGATCTATGAAGAGACTCGAGGTGTGCTGAAAGTGTTCCTGGAAAACGTCATTCGCGACGCTGTGACCTACACTGAGCACGCTAAGCGCAAGACTGTGACCGCTATGGACGTAGTATACGCTCTGAAGCGCCAAGGCCGTACATTGTATGGTTTCGGCGGTTAAACTCCACTGGACCCAGTTTTAAAAAAGAAAAAAGGCTCTTTTCAGAGCCGCCCAAACCTTCAACCGAAAGAGCAATTTTATCTGTTTTACGTTTATACAGTTTCATTCTTTCTCTTTTTTTATTTTATTCATTTATTTTTTGCTAAACAAAATGGCAAACTTTGTTTACTAGATGAGTTGGCTGCTTGTGTTAACAAATAATGAGCAAAATTATAAAATGTAATTATAAAACAATAAATTTCTTGGTTTATTGGGGTAATCTGCTAAAATGTCAGAAAAGAATTAATAAACATTTAATAGTTTCTTAATAGGTTAATTTATTAATACATGTACATGCAGAATTATACAGCATTATTGTGAATAGTTGCTTTAAGCCAGGCATCCACGAATAATTTCTTCTAAATTGCTGTAAAGAAGTTGCACCATAACAAAATTTAAATACACGAATTTAAGTAATTCAAATAGTGCCATTACTGAGACACTCAGCACCAAATGTTCCATTATTATATTGCGTAATATGTCATACACTACAATATTAACAGTACTGCTCATAAATCTTGTCTAATTAAGAAATTAAGTTTAAGATGCTTATTAGCCATTGCATAAAGGAATAGTTCCCCCAAAATGTAAAGTCCTCTACTTTATCTACCTCAAGTGGTTCCAAACCTTTATGAAGTTTCTTTCTTTCTGTTCAGCACAAAATAAGTTATGAATAAAATTACAAACTTCAACCACTGACATCCATAGAAAAATACTAAAACACTAATGAGGCCAATGGTTACAGGTGTCCAACATTTTTCAAACTCATTTCAACTAAAGAAAGAAACTCAGGGTTATGACAAAAGGAAGGGTTGAGTAAATGATGACAACTTTCAGTTTTGGGTAAGGACCAAAAGCAAAGTGATTGTTTATTCACAAACAAATAACTAAAAACAACACAATACATTTTAAGAGCACACACCAAACTTATTTAGTGTCATTCTGTAAGCACATAATAAAGCTGAAATCCCGTAAAAGAGCTTAATCAAATCTCAACATGGTATATATATGACTGTAATACTGCTGAAATAACTTAAGTATCCTGTGTTTCATTATTTGGTTTGAGTGAAAACGAATTGTGATTCAGTAAAAGTGTTATACAATTGTTATTACCAGACTTTAACCTGATTATGTATTCACATTCTACTTAATGGGCTAATATTTGTTTACATATGTTTGTTTTAAAATGACCATAATCAGATTTTTTTCACACACTACATGATTGAGAGTTATTTTAAATGATGAATAATTGTAATTCTTTTGTACTCTTGTAAAACATTTTTTTCTAATGATCTGCATTAAGATTTAGTTCTGAATAGCCTATTTGCAATAAGCAATGAACAAGTGGCATTTATATAATAATGTAAAATATAAGCAATGATAAAATTAAAAGGCTAGAAATATAAGCATTTGGTTGTAAAAATATGTTCATGTGTCATCTTAAATTGAGGCCATTTGTTCAAAATTGGGAACTAATAAAAAAGAATAAAAAAAACTAATATATTTTATTCCTAAATTAGTCTGAAAATGTTGCATAAAATAAATAATCTAGTTTGCATCAGCCTATTCATCATTTGTTTGTATACAGAAACCAGCTACAATTTGTAGATGAGGTTTATTTCTAATGAGTTACATCCATGAGTCCACACTTAAACTCCATTAGGCCAATCTGATCAAATGTTGCATAATGTTAAAATATTGAATAAGTAGCTCACAGAATTCTTTCAAAACAAAAGAAGAGACGATTCTGTCATGTACTTTATCAATCAAACTTGACAGACAAAACAATTATGGTTTTGTTGTTTATCAACATCACAGTGCATAAAGTGAAGCAATGGCTCCCTGCAGACAATGAAGGAACGCTCTGAAATACTCGATGTTTTAAGCATATTGGCATGAATAAAAAGGAAACCAAGTGATGTTTTAACATCAGCCGAGTGTAATTGAAAGCATGGAATCGTGTTTACAAGTAGTTATTGCAAAAAAACACATAAACAAGCCGATAAAATGTCACCCTCACGAGAGCTTCCTCCTGATGTCGATCTTCTCCAACGAGGAGCATATTTTCACTTCTGACATCACATAGTCCTGTTTTATCGCCAATCGTTAATGTTTTAAACATGTAATGTTTATAAACTAGCTTATACGTGAATTACTTGAATCGTGAAAGGTTTGTACAGATATGATTATTAATAGATCGTTGTAGAAAGAATCTCCATGAGATTAGGGGAGGTTGAAATGGCCACAGCGCTGATCTGTGTTACCTTCACTAAAGAAAACCGCTCCAAATTTCTCTTCCGCGAGCTTTTATATTCCAAAACCTCCACAAATGTGTACATTAGGGTCTTCTTTATGCAGACTATCCGTCATTTCAGTTGTGGATTTCGAATTTTAATATATAATCTACAAAAGAACAGACGAAGTGCGATATTTCCCGCTGAGTCTCGCACCAAATTTGGACGCGTTTTTATAATTGTAAAATAAACCGGGGGAGATTTAGCAAAAAGCACGAGCTGCCCTTAAAGACGAAGGACTCAGCTATCAGACCGTGGTTTAAAGTCTGAAAAAAGTCGCTATTTGTCGCGGAAAACTTTGTGTTTTTCAAGATCAGAAAACACATCTACGAACGACTCTGTCCTGTTGAGAGCGTCGGTTGAGGCGGTTGAGTCTATATGGTTCTCATCTCCCGTTTAAATCCCGCCCTCAGCTGTTGGATGTAAACATTGTTTGTTTGACAGCTCTGTACTACGTGACATCGGATCCAAGTTTACTACAACTATGGCAGAAACTGCTCCTGCTCCCGCGGCGGCTCCGGCCAAATCTCCGAGGAAGAAGGCGACAAAGGCGAAAAAGCCCGGACCCAGCGTGTCAGACCTCATCGTGAAGGCGGTTGCTGCTTCCAACGAGCGCAAAGGAGTTTCCCTAGCGGCTCTGAAGAAGGCTTTGGCAGGTGGTGGATATGACGTCGAGAAGAACAACTCTCGCGTCAAGATCGCCCTGAAAGCTTTGGTGAAAAGGGGGGCGCTTGTCCAGACCAAAGGCACCGGAGCGTCCGGATCCTTCAAGGTGAGCAAGAAAGCAGCCGCCAAGAAACCCGCCAAGAAAGTTGTGGCGAAGCCGAAGAAGCCAGTCGTCAAGAAGAAGAAGGCGGCGGCCAAGGTGGCAAAGCCCAAGAAGGCAGCAGTAAAGAAAGCCTCCCCGAAGAAGTCTCCTAAGAAAGTGAAGAAACCGGCTGCCAAGAAAGTCGCCAAAAGCCCAAAGAAAGTGAAGAAGCCGGCTGTGAAGAAAGTTGCAAAGAGTCCTAAGAAGGTCAAAGCAGTGAAACCTAAAGCTGCAAAGCCCAAGGCTGCCAAGGCGAAGAAGACGGCCGCCAAGAAGAAGTAGACTGAAAGACTTACTCCAAAAACCAAAGGCTCTTGTAAGAGCCACCCCATCTTCACAGAAGTGCACATGTTCCTAATGCATGTAAGAAGGCGAATGCTTGTTTAATAGACTGAGAACATTTTCTTTTTTACTCGGGATGTGACTGTATAAACGGTCCTGATTCTACTGCTTCCATCATCACCAGCGGGAACGAGCAGCACACAATGCTGTGGAGGACTTTTGTGTTGTTTGTTATTTTCAAGATCGGTTTGTGAAAACACATGACAGTCTCTACCTCTGTACCTGATACACAAAGCCGATTACTCGGTGTAGATTTTCAGTCCTTCAGAGATTAGGCAGAAGAGTCCGCTGGTTGGAAAGTGTCCAATATGTCCATACATTAACATAAGTTCATCTTGTGCGCGCGCGCGTATGTAACTAAACTGGATGAATGTGTTTTATCACTATGATTCATGTTATATTTATATTTTGTATTGGATTAAATGAGACTTTCCTGTAAATATACAGCAATACAGAACAATTAATTTATTCATTGTCGAGTGTTGTTTTTTTGAATGTTTCTACCAGAGGTAAACACATTCCATTAATAAACTTGTTTTTTGTTTTGTTTTGCTTTTGTATTGTTCTTAACATTTATTCATAAACCTATATTTTGTCCAAAATGTGTTTTAGTATAAAAATCCTAATAAAAACAAATACAATATCAATCTGTTTATTTCTTTTTCTGCACACCATTCCTGATTACTTTAATGTGTCTTTTTATTAAAATTAATTTATAATAGTTTATGACCTAATTTAGATTTAAATTATTTTAATTTGTAAAAGGGCGGGCTTTTTGGGTTTGCATGTTTGTGTTCCCCTCTTGTATAATAATAATAATAATTATATATATATATATATATATATATATATATATATATATATATATATATATATATATATATATATAAAGAAAAGAAAGAGTAAGGCATGCTTTATCGCAAGTTGTTTATGTCATGTGATTCCTTTGCGCAGCTGCGCATTTTGATCTAAAATCCAAATTTGGCGGTAACGTCATGAAGCAAGTAAAATGCCACATAGAAAAAGATAAAGTGTGCAGTTTGGTAAAATGGGAGTCTCGTCGTCTTTAACTATTTTAATGGTGAGTTATGCACTTACATATTTAGTGCGCTGCATGTCGTTGTTCGTTAATGTTGTTGTTGGACACATGTTTGCAGTCATTAAGCAGATGAGCTTTAGTTTACGTATAGTTCGTCTCAGGTTTATCGGTTGGACTATTTTAGGGTTTTGTTGTTCATGGCCCTTTTCCATTAAGCTGGATTAGCTGGATAGCTTGTTAAGTTTTAGTTTAGTTTGAACCAATATTGGGGTTTAGGTAACATGAAGGCAACTCGACTTTAATCATTCTTTGTTGCCATGAATGGTGGTAATTATAAGGGAGCTGAGCTACCTTCCTAAAATCTAGAATTCGTGCAAACTTGCCAGGCTTCATTGTAGGCCCCGGGAAATTGTTATTGTTTTTCTTTTTGTTTGTTTATTTTCATTTCCACTGAGTACCTTTATTAATGAGAGGTCCCCACAGTAGAATGAACCGCCAACTTATCCAGCATATGTTTACGCAGCAGATACCATTTCAGCTGCAACCCATCTCTGAGAAACACCCACACACTCCTGCATTCATACAGATGCACTACAGCCAATTTAGCTTATTCAATTCACCTATGCTGCATGTCTTTGGACAGTGCAGCACCCGGAGGAAACCCATGCAAACATGGGAAGAACATGTAAACTCCATGCAGAAATGCCAACTGACCCAGCCGGGGCTTGACCCAGCAACCTTCTTGCTGTGAGGCAATTGTGCTACCCACTGTGCCACTGTGCTGCCCCCTTTTGCTTGTTTTTATCTGTTATTGTTTTTGTTTATTTATTTATTTTTTTCAGATTTTTGTTTCTATTCAAGGTTTGAAGTTGAAATGTATATAAAAGTGAAATATTGTTTAAAGATGAAATGGGTAGAAATGAGTCATAAACCCCACAGACATTTAAAATTAATAACAATATCATTTAAAATGCTGTTTTATTTTAAAAAGTTTAAGTATTGAACATCATACTGCAGGAAGAATACTCAAAAGTGTTTTATTTCAGTGCCTAAAACGACAAATCTAGGACAACCATTTGAAGTAAAAGCACACTTTTATCCCTAAGATCCCTTAGTTAATAAATTTGATGGATTGACTCTTTTTTTGTACATTATTACTATTGTTTTGCATTGTAGAATTGTTGCACAGTTATCAAAAGTGAGTCTTATACGTTTATATTGTAACCATAAATAAATCGGCATGATTGCCCATGGCATTCAGTAGGCAGACAGTGCATACTATGACAGAAATGTAATCCAGTCAAATGTGAACCCATTCACAAAATCACCAAATGAATGGTGGTAACAAGCTGTAACTGACATTTGCAAATGAAAATCAAATTATGAAATAATATAAAAAAGGACCTTTAAGGTCATTTTGAAGTAACCCACTGCTTTCTTTAATCAAATGGTCTCTGTGACATTATAAAACAATTATTCTGATACCACTGCTAAATCAAACAGTGAGATCCTCCAGTGAAGTTGGGAAAGAATCTGCTGATTTTCTTTTTTTTCAGTGTTTTGTGTGTGTGTGTGTGTGTGTGTGTGTGTGTGTGTGTGTGTGTGTGTAAACCAGCATCACTTGCAGAAAGCCATTTAAAAGTAAAGTATATGTCTATGTGTCTGTCTGCTAGGCTTGGGATGATAAATGTTTTCAAGGTATACCGTGGTTTGGAAAAGTCAAGATATTAAAACAGCCAACATTTTCTGCTATACCGTTCCTAGGGTATGTGTAAGATTTTTTTATTTATGTTTTTATGCAGAAAAGATATCCAAAAATAACATTTAAAATGGTAAAGAAATCTGTGTTTTTGAAATTAATGAAGACAGCAGAAGTCAATGATTTATTTTAATAATTTAGCCTGACATGTTTACTATTAAAATGTTTTAGAAATGTTTCTCAAAATAACATTTTTAGTGGTCAAAGGGGAAAAAAGTCTTTGTTTTTTACCCAAACTTTTAAAAATAATGTATTTTACAGTAGCAATCACAATCCTGTCAAACCGCGAACTGTGTGATTATTTTTTTACTTTTTTTTTTATCATACCGTCAGAATCTTACACCAGCCCCTTCTCCCTCCTATTCCCATACACACCCATTCAGCAACCGAAAAAAAATGGATCAGTCTAAAGACTTGATTCAGTTTAAGCACATTTTTTAAATTCTCATATTTTTAGTTGTATTCTCTTAAAAATTTCTTGCTTTTCCAGAGTTGATGTAATGTGAAGAAATCCATTCGACAAGCAGGTTTGTTCTGAAAAAAAAAGGTGTCAGTTCTTCCAGACTGACGAAATATTTAAATCTTGGCTGCATGAAATTTGTTTTGTTCTCTGCTGATATGCCATGGTCAGAAAAAAAAAGAAAAAAGTAAATAAAAAAATCTGTCAGTGCCTTTTTTTCAGTTTTAGAGAGGATAGAGAATATGTCAAGTCTAGTGTTATTCATTATCAGTAAAGTGAATAAAAAATGACAGACGCGAGTATTATTTCCTTCAAATAGAAGAACGAGTACTTTTGGCATTAGTCATATACAAATAACAGCCTGTTCAGTATTCTAGTGAGTGACCTTTTGAATCATTCATGACCAGAGCAATGTAGAAACAGCAGCCAGAAATGGTTCTAAAGCCAGTTCAATTAACCACAATCTTTTCCAGTGTAATACATATCATTTTACTCAAAGTACACCACATATTTAAAGATCATAGTATTCCAGATATACTAGGAGACTCGACTTCATTACGAACAACATGTTCAAGTGACACCAACTCATCTTCTTTGGTAAATGGTATGATTTTATCAAGTGATAGCTCTGTTTCTCCCACAGGATGCCTTTCTCCATATACAAAGTTACATTCCATCTCGTAAGGAACTTCAGCCATCTGTGAAACAGTATCAAAGCACATGTCTTTGTCACTTCCCTCCCTGACAGCGTGTGGATGCAGACAGGGATGACCGAACAGGTGAACATCTCGAAGATTTGTGGAGTCTCGATGGTACGACACCAGCTCGTTGCTGAAGTCAACAGTTTGCACATTATTCTGACAGCACAACTTCCCACATCCCAGGATGCTGGAGAAGGCTTTGCGGAACTCTGCATTAAATGCATAAACGACAGGATTCAAGGTAGAGTTCGCCCAGCCACACCACACAAACACATCAAAGGTGGTCTTATTGACGCATGGGATCTGACCGGCGTTGTGGAGGCCAGGATCACAAAACGGCACCATGCAGTTGAGAATGAAAAAAGGCAGCCAACAGCAGACGAACACCCCCATGATCATCGACAGAGTTTTCAGGACTTTGGTTTCCCTCCTAAATGAACTTTTTAACTTCTCTTCAGGAGCTTTATTGCAGCTTTGGCAGGACTGGACATGTTTGATGCTACACTCTTGCATCGATATCCTTCGGATCTGCCTTTGTGCTATGAGGAAGATGCGTGAGTAAGTGACAATCATTATGGAGACTGGGATGTAGAAGCTGATCAGAGATGAAGTGATGGCGTAAGTGCGGTTTAAACTGGCATCGCATTTCTCAGCCAGGTCTTCTATAGGGTCGATAGACTTATGCCAACTCAGCTGCACAGGAATGAATGAGATGAGGACAGAAAGCGTCCATGCCACTCCAATCATGACGAACGCCACTCTTCTGGTCATTTTCTGCTCGTAGCTCAACGGGATAGCAATCGCCCAGTAACGATCCACACTTATGATGCACAGGTTGAGAATGGAGGCAGTGGAACACATGATGTCAAAAGCTATCCATACTTCACAGAAGCTCCCGAACGGCCAGAAACCCACAATCTCAGCAGCTGCCTTCCATGGCATTACAAGAGTGGCAACTAAGAGGTCCGAAACAGCCAAAGACACAACAAACACGTACGCTACTTTGGAGCGCAGATGACGAAACCGTACCACCGCTGTGCACACCAGAGCATTCCCTAGAAAGGTGGAGAGCACAAAAATAAAAAGCAGGCAAGCAGTCGTGGAGCGGGTTATCAGCTCTGAGACGTAACCTTCAGTCTGGTTTACCATCTTTCAGGATGTCCCTATTACCCTGGCTGCAACCTGAAAAATGTCTTTTGATCAAGCATCCGTCCTTCGGGGAAAATTTGAGGATAGTTTAATATCCAAAGACTTGAGGAATTCATCCATTAATGAGCCTGTAATAACTGAACATCTCTGCAAATAACCTTCCCTCCTTTCTTCACCCAGAGAAGTGAGTGAGAATACAGTGCAGAGGGTGATACTAACGATCTTGAAAGTAGGACTAGGGGGAGGAGCCCAAGAAAATACAGGAGAGTGGAGAATGTGAATGTGACTCATGTCATGTATATTATGGGATACGGTTTTTGAGGAGGGGGTATGTATTTTATGTTTTAAATTTTTAAGCTTAATGTTAAAAAAAATTCCCAAAAGCAATATATGATATGTGAAAGCATTGTTTCACATAAGTCTCTATTGAGATTGAGTCCAGGCTGCTGTCTGACTAATTAGCGTTTATGGATTAATTTACAGCTTTTTTGCCCCATTAAGTGCACCATTATCCACAAGATGGCAGTATACGTATATTAATCTCTCACAAGAGAATAGGCAGAGATTCATTCTAGTGATGGAAAGAGACATCTAAACGATTCTTTCGAACACAGAACCAATTCAAAATGATGACATATTCAAATGTTATTTTACGTAGTTGCATCATTTCACGATGGTTTATCCTAATTTAATAATAATGACTGTAAACAATAGAAGGCTAATGTTTAGCTCAAATGCTAAACCTAAGAGTGCTGTGCTGAATATGTTACTGTCGAAAAAGAATTTTGTTTAAACTTATATATTTCTAATATGTTTAATTAGGCATACTGCCCATTAATTCCAGTATGTTTTATTAGTGCAGGCTACTGTTTATTTAATTAGTGTCTGTATTTAGAGCACTTTCTATTTCTGGTGCAAAATTCTGTGACAAAATGCTACTACTGGGCTATTGTAATTTTGAGATGTGTCGAATTCAATCGACTCAATTGACTAGAGAACAGCTCATTCCATTCGATTCTTGAACGAATCCTTCGTTTATGGATTTGATCCGCCAAACAGATAACATGCGCTTAACCCCTTCAGACCCTCCATTACAATGGACACCACATGACATCCCATTTTTCTGAAATTTGGAACATAATTCAGGTCTGAAGGGGTGGTCCACGATATTCTCTTCCCAGCCCAAACAGTTTATTTTCCTAAAAGTTGTTCTGTGTTTTAAGCGTGTTTAGCATAGCCTCAATGAAAGGGAGGTTTTGTTTTCCTCTACCCGTCCAAATAAACTCACACCACCGCCAAAGATTTCTCGTCCGTATCGAAATATTTTTTCTAGTTTAACGTTACGACAGCCGACATATTTTAGGCACGTCCATATGTCTCCTTCCTTTAACAAAATGCCAGTAACGTGCTCGTGCGACTGGAGGTACATGAGGTCAGCATAGCAGCATGTAGTGGGCGTAAAGGGGCAGTTCAACAAGGCGTAACTTTGTTTCGACTTTCCTAAAATTGCAGGAGAACAACCAGTGAAAGTTTAGGGGATGAGCAACAGCCTAGAGAAGCAGGGATTTACACTTCGGAGGAGTATTCTACTGTGAAATTTGCACTCGCAGCAAAAGTAAGATAACAAAGCTTGCTTTGCTCTATTAAGCCATACTGTATAACTGCGTTTTCTTTTTATCAAAATAGGGGTTAGGTTTTTAAATATTTGTTACCTGACATTTTCGCTTTTGGCCGGTTTACACTTTCTTGTATGTTAGAAGAGAGAAAACAATGAATTTAGCATGACGTCATGCATAAATAAGGGATATTAGGAGAGAACAAGTTGTTTTTTTAACTAAATGAGTGATTTTGTGCCATGGTGTTGTTAGATGTGGTAAATGTGATTGCAAAATGTATATATATATATATATATATATATATATATATATATATATATATATATATATATATATATATATATATATATATATATATTTTTTTTTTTTTTTACATCAAATTGCATTAATAATTATTAATGAACAAAAATCTACTAAAGAGTTCTATGCCTTTGTTTCAGGCAGAACACCAGGTTATTGTCTATTACTACCTATGTACTATGTTTGAGTCCTATGACTCTTTGAATCGTGGACTTTATTCTGTCCACGGGCTTGCTGTCTAAAAGTGCAAAATGCTAATTGACATGAACCATGTCATAAGGACAGGAATTTGAGGAAGCGAACAAACACACAAATGCTTTCTGAACATGCCTTCTGGTGTAATTTGGCTTGAATGTAGACCAAGAACAACTTTGTAAGACCTGCCTTTAGGCTGATTTAGGGCAGACAATGGAAATCTTTACTAATTCATTGAGGCTCTCAGGGTCCATGTCTGTTTGCCACATGTATTTGGACATCTAAGATGCATTGTTTTAATTAAGCAAAAAAGCTTAACATATTTTCAGACACTATCATTTTTAATGTATATGTATGTGTGTGTTATAAAAGCAAACGGAAGTCTAAGAAAAGTGTTTTTGTAGAAATACCTCTTTTATCTTGAAGTGGCAATCTTAAGGGAGCCCTTTGAAGCAGGTTGCATTATTTTTCCTGCCTTCGAGACAGCCGCATCTAGTCCAGTCAGTACCAGAGAACACAAAAAAAGCCTATTAATCACATTGTATTTTGGCACGTTGGGGTCCAAATGTGGATGTTTTTTTATTATTACAACTTTTTCAAAATCGTTTATTCTCAAGTTATAATGTATTATTGAGCTGAACTAATAAGCTTTGCTCACTCAATGCGATTCATGTTTCAGTATAATCAATTGTACAGGGGAATCCATAGAGTTTTCATCCTCACAATAAAAGTATTTTTAAATTTTTCAAAACATTAAGACATTCTGTGTATTTCCATGTCTAAAGTAGGTTTTCAAAGTGCAGTTTTGGACTAGTATATGAAGTGTTTTTTTTTAGTTAGCAAATCAGTTACCTAATTCACTCATGCTTTCCATATTATTTCCATCTGCACACCCTCTTGTGTCACTGAAAGAGAATATATAACACTCCAATCAAAGTGTTTAAACATCTGTCAGACTTTTACGCTCAATTAAACTGTACTTTCTATTAAGTATGTGATTTTCTTGATATTCAAAGCGAATTCTTTATATTTCTGCTTAGCTGATAGGCAATGTAGATGAATCGTCTGCCACAGTAGGGTCTAAACAAGCCTCTGCGTCCTCATTATTGCACTCTTTGATGTGGGTCGGTTTAGTGATGAACGAAGACTCACATGCTATTCTCCCTCAGCTCATGACATTGATAAAAGTTCTTTGAATTAAAAAAAATACAGATAAATGGGTGGCTTGAAATCTAAAAATGTATACATTGTGTCTGTTATCTTCAAACATATCTTTCTGTATTTCTTTCTTAAATAATCTGTTCACTTTTCCTTTTTTTGCAGGCCATACAATCTGAGCCTCTGTCATTATGCTGGCTCTCTGGTCTATATCATTTGTACTATTGTGCTCTTGGAGGCTAAGCTACGCACAGTATGAGCACTTGGGTTTTGCTATAGCCTACCAGGAGCCTGAACAAGACCTTTACACTCCTCCAGAGCTTCCTGCAGATACTCCCAGGATACAGTTACGTCTGGCAGGAGAGAAGCGCAAGCACAATGAAGGGCGCGTTGAGGTCTTCTATGAAGGGGAGTGGGGGACTGTATGTGATGATGATTTCACCATTCATGCAGCCCAAGTCATATGCAGAGAGCTGGGCTATTTTGAAGCAATATCCTGGTCTCCATCATCTAAATATGGCAAGGGAGAAGGTATGCTTAAAGTGTTTAAAATGTCTTTATTATAATAATATAATGAAACTGACTAATTTTTCTAAATTACAATGATACTGCTTTAGTGCTTTCCAGGAGGGCTGCAGTTCTGCACAGTTTTGCTCCAACCCTAATCAAACACCGCTGATCCAACTAATCAAGGTGTTCAAGACTACTTTGGACTATTAAGCAGGTGTGATTTGGAGTTGGTTTTAGCCAAACTATGCAGAGCGGTGGCCCTCCAGGAATTGAGTTTGAGACTATTGCTTTCGTGCATCTTGTGGTTTTCATTGACAACAGTGTATTAGGATCAAATTAATGTCTGAAAGTTGTTCTATCACATCATTATTTAGTTGTAAATAGAAAAAAATATATATGACAAGAATTTTTAAGTATCTTGTTGGTTAAGTTATGTTCTGTAATTAATCAATTATTACTAATTACATCATTAAAGTTGTATTTAAATTATTTTATTAATGACTATTAGTCTGTACATTAATTTAATTACTCAATAAGGAACTTAATAACTTGTCTCAACACTACCTAAAATCACTGTAATGCTGCAGTCACACTAGAGTTTGAGCTTGCGAAAATCTGTTGTATGGCGCTGCGAAAAAGGGCGGGATTAAACAAGGCTATTAGACATTAAAATATGCGAGCAAATGGTCCATATTTTAAATTTCTGTACAGAAAGGTCATGTTTCGATCTTTGATTGGTCTCACGCAGTCATGTGATGTGATTTCGCTGGTCAGAGTTCACAACTTTGCAACGCAGCGAACTGGGAAACTTGTTGCACAAGATTGCATTTTCGATCTGCCGCATTCACGTGCATTACAATGGAAGTCTATGGGGAGAAAAGTGCAGTGTGACTGCAGCTTCAGTCTCAATGCATAGACAATAGAAATTAAACTGTTAATTCTTGAATTTTTTGAGGCATTAACAAAAATTTACACTTTAAGATATTCTATGTATGAAAACAAAACATTTCAAAGCATTGACACATTATTTTATGTATACCATATATTGACAAATATCTTTCCTAATTCGTTGTTTATTAATTGTGCAATCATTTGTACAAATCTACCCTTCTTTAGTAAAAGAGTTTGATATTTTGCAAATACAAAAAAGAAGAAAACATATGAATGTTAATTTTATAACTAATATCAAACTGAATTCATTGTTTCTTATGCATAATGTAAATAATTTGCAATCGTCTTGATGAATGTAGCCTTCTTTAGCTCAAAAATAGAATTATTGTTCAAGATATATGTATTACAAACAATGCAATTGCTCTGAATGTGTATATTTACAGAACCTTTGTGTTGAGTTACAGTGTTAAGTGACTAATTAAATGACTTAGTAATGAAAAGTAATCGATTGCTTTACTTTTCTATCAAAAAGTAATCTAAAACAGTAACTAGTTGCTATGTAATTAATTAAACCCAACACTACATTCATAACTACATGCATAACAATTGTTAAAAAAAGGTTTGGCTAGCTTACTTCAAATGTTGTGAACTCAACCTGAAAACCTTTTAAACACTTAGGTGAAGAATTGATTAAACTAATTTACATACTGCATTTTTTAGGTCGTATCTGGTTCGATAACGTCCACTGTAAGGGAAAGGAGAAGAGCTTGGCTCAGTGCGAGTCTAATGGCATTGGTGTGTCTGATTGCAAACATTCTGAGGATGTCGGGGTCGTTTGCAGTGACAAGAGAATCCCAGGATTCAAGTTTGTCAACACCCTTACCAACAACATCAATGTAAGTGATTTCAGTACATGTCTGTTTCCTTTTGTTTTTGTCTAACATCACTCTAGTCCCATTCAGTGATTTGAACTAAGCGAATTTAGATTTTTTCCACTTCCAGACCAATAAATAGTTTTACATGTGAAATTTATTCAAGACTCAAACTAGGTTAATCCTGGTACAAAAGTATGCTCTAAAGCAGTGGTTCTCAAACTGTGGTACGTGTACCACTAGTGGTACGCAGGCTTCCTTCTAGTGGTACGCGGAGGAATTAAATATGTCATGTACATGCTACACACATTTAAAAATTTATCAAAAATGATGAATATAATATGCCATTTATGTCATATAGCCTATATTTCTGAGGTAATCTGCCACATTTTTTTTAACTGTGCAGAGTTGTAGCTGCTTTACTGGGCCTACTACGGTACTGTATTTCAATACTGCAAATTTTTGGTGGTACTTGGAGAGACAATTTTTTTCTGAGGTGGTACTTGACAAAAAAAAGTTTGAGAACCACTGCTCTAAAGTCATAATGCATTAGCTTTTGGTGAATTAGTTTGTTCTGAAGCCAAAATATGTTCTCCTGTGGATTGTGGAACAAAGGATTTTTTTGTGTCCTGGTGGTTAGAGGTATATGTCAAAAATAGTACATAATAAATAATTTGTCAATTCAACACAACTAAAGAGGTTTACTAGCATGTAACAATACACTCTATGAATTATATAGATATAAATGATCTTTGCTTATCAAACTCAGTATGTGGTCACTGTATGTGCACAACGTGTTTCTCTGAGTGCTACAGAGAACTGCTTCTGATTTACAAAATGCAATGCCAAACACAGAAATGGTACTGTTTAGCTGCAGTCAGTGCTGACTGTTTATGAAAAGGCATTTGTTTCTGTAAGGGACACTTCACCCAAAAATAGAAATATGCTGTTAATCTACTCACCCTCAGGCTATACAAGAGGTAGGTGATTTTTCTTCAGTAGAACACTAAAGGTTTTTTGCAGAAAACATAGTGCTTGGCTTTTCATGAATTGCAAGTCTGTAGGCTACTCTGTAGAAAAAAGAAAAACACACATGAGCATAATAAAAATGGTTAAAACACTAAGTTGCAACATTATTACCTTTATCCACAGCCTCAGCAAATGGCCTGAAGTGCAAGCATCCTGTTGCATAAAAACATACATTATGTGCTGGGGCAAACTTCAACAGAGATGAACAATGTGTTTGTTGCAATCCAGGCTCATTCTGAAAACGTACCCCTATATACATTTCTGGAGAGAGCAAAATATGTGCCAGGAGCTACTTTTTCTTGCAGTTTTTGTTTTCGTGAATCCACCAGAGGCCGCTGTGTAGATCTCTTTTGAGATCTCAAATTTCTCTCGCGAGTGCCATTTGCACCTGCTGTTCTCACGTGAGTCCACCTGAGGCTGCTGTTGACTAACTGATTGACTGACCAACTGACCGATCCCCCTCACCCTCCCCCTTCCTTAAACCCAACCAATAGTGTTTTCAAAAGCACCAATTGACCAGTACATCCACTTCCCTGAACCTAACTGCTGTGTTTTGAAAAGCAATGCAGAAAAAGACAAGCCCTCGTCTGACACCACATTTTTAAACATTCCTACCCTGTTATTTACTTGTTTATTTTGTTTTTTTGGCTTCTGTTTGTTTTTAACCCCCTTTTTCAATCATTCTTTACTGGACTGAAACCCTGTTGTTGCGGTCAACTCTGCTCTGTATTCCAAGCCCACCAACGTACTGTACATGTCGAGCTACTGGATAACAGCGGCAAAGCCGTCCATATGAAGGTAAGACGAAAAGGAACAGCATCATGCAGCCCCGTAGCATTTGTTTTAAAGATGAAATGCAGCCATACGTAGCTGTGGCTACAGAATTTGCGATCTCCAGAAACATATATATGGCTACGTTTTCAAAATGAGCCTGTGTTGGTTGTATAGTTTATCTAAATGGTACTTTTATATGTAATAAACAGCATCAGCTCACAGACTGATCATTTCTCTTCATAATACCTCAAAGCATGTGTAGTTGTTTTGTTTTGCCTGTATATATTTATTAGTTTTTACTCTCAAAATGCCAGTTGCCATTGACCTGCAATTTAGGAATCCTCAAGGACCGCAGTTTCAGCTAAAAATCTTCTTTAATGTTTTACTAAATAAAAAAAGTCACCTACATATTGGAAGACCTGAGGGTGAGTTAATTCAAGCAAATTTTCACTTTTTGAATGAACTTTCCCTTTAATATTCTGGAATAGTGACAGTAAAGGCGTTAATATTATATGTTCTCGCTTTGGTCCATAATTCAAAACTATATAATTGGGTCTCAGTGGTACTGAAGTTCAGTATCTGGGTCCTAGGGGCAGGTTTAAGCTCAAGGCAGGGTAAAATAGGTGGATGATGCCACAGAAACTATTGTTGCAGTCCTTTAATCACTTTTCTCATCGTTTGGTGCATTCTTTTTCTTTTTTCTCTCTCTCAGGGCTAAATGGGTTGCTTGCTAAGCTTACAGCAATGGACTATTTAAACACCTTCTTGACACAATTTGTACTACACAAATATATGCTATAGGCTTTGTCTGAATTAATTTCTGTGTCCAGTTAGAATAATAATAGGAATTATTCCTATCCTCTCTCTTTGCACAAACAAGCTGTTCTGTCCCAACAGTGTCATCTAGAAAGAATGCATTAGGCATGCAAAGAAATATTTCATGATAAGCTCTCATGTAATTAAAGAGAACTGTGATTTTACCCCCTTATGATGAAACACAGACTTTAGAAGACCCTATAGTGACAAATAAGACATTGAAAACTCCATGTAAAGCCAAAAGCAAACCTCAATGCCTATTGATAAAATCAAAAATACCTATTGTGTCTGAATTTATTTTTCAAGTATTAATGTCTTTTCTAACAGTACATGGAATATGAGTCAAGCAGCGAAATGGAGAAAGTCTAGACATCTTAGATCAGCTTCTATTTAATCCCCAGCTGAGAAACCTGGAGAGAAAGCCAGACTCAGCTTTTCCATATACCGATAGCCTCCACGGACTCCATGTTAGCGCAGTTAAATCACAGGAAGTTTCACCGTAATGCCGGCCACATTCAAGTCATCTGGGACTGTTTAGCCCACTGCAGCCCTCTTTGGGTTAAAATGGGAAAAATTATGTAATGTATGTGTGGGGCAGAGATGGCATATGTGGAGGAGAGTCAAAAGATGAGATGCAGACATCCTTAAAGGAAAATGTGAATATTGCATTTTCCAGGTAGTGATATGGAAATAAACTAATCTACATTTTTGAGGGCGGATCCTGATCTATGATGTCTGATGCATTGATTTAATTATCCTTTAAAAAGTTGATCAAAGCATTTAGGCACTTCTTAGATTACCCAGAAAAGTTCAAATATCCAATGACCCTATCAAATGTCTTATAAATCATGACTTAGCATGTCTTTGGTAAAGGATTCATTATTGCCTGTAGCAAATGCACATCCTGATATGACGTGGAAGTCATTTTTATGTTGGTATTTATGGCACACCAAAAATGCTCTAAGGCATTTGCTTTATTACAGTTGAACAACTGAAGACAATTGTTATTTATTTTCTGGACATGTGCTTGATTATGGGAAAAAAATCATAATCATGTTTATTTAAAACTATTATCAGTGGGCAATATGACCAAAATGTTTTATAGATAGAGAACTTTGCTGTCTATAGTGGACGAGGGAGCTCTAAATCTAGATTCAAAATCTCTTATTTTGTGTTAAGAAGATAAATTAAAACAACATGATGCGTAAATAATAACAGAATTGGCATTTTGGGGAACTAACCCTTTAGGAGCAAGAATTATAAGATTGGTGAGACAAATCTGAGAATATTTTTAAACAACCTAATTCTAATGTGAGTGAACCTGGGTAATTGCAGGGTCTTAAAATGTCTTCAATTTCAAAAACAAAATTTTTGGCCTTAAAAAGTCTTAAATTCACTGAAATATTGTGTTTTATGTCCTAAATCATTTTAAACAGGTCATAATTTTGTGATGTCAAAATAAAACCAGCCAATCAGGCCGACATCCATCCAATCACCTTAATAAAATCAGGGAAAGATAACTAAAAACAGTTACACAGTTCTCCATGATAATAACAGCAATTTATCCATTTATCTTCCAGTCATACAAAAACAGAAGTAAGAGCGAGTAAACATAATATTTATAAATAGACATGAAACTTAAAGTTTTATGACAGAAATTTATTAGGTTGAATGGAAGTTATACTCTAACAATTTGGATTATTTATGTAATTGCCTCCACAATAAACATACTTTTAAATATGTTAAACTTGTCATTAAAAAAATAAATGTTATGTTGAAAATAGTGTATAAAACTAGAGTTTTCTTGTTTTGACACAAAGTAAGTTGCTAAGATATAATTACAGTTGATTTTTTTTGTGGCGAGCAAAAAATAAATAAATTAATTAAATGGCCCAACCTGGCCATTAGATATAATCATTAGTGTTTAGCCCTGTATAAGTCTAAATAATTATTCATAATGGTTTTAAAAGGGTCTTAAAATGTCTTAAATTTGACTTGATAAAACCTACAGAAACCCTGGTGTACCATCAAGTATTCTATAATTCTAGCATTAAAATCAAGACTCTGTATTGCCGTACCAAGGCTGCAGCCGGCAGAATGATATGCAGCACCTGAAAATAGTTCCCAGCTTTTTACTTGTCAGTTTGTATATTTGCGTTCACTATTTACTTTTAATTAAATGTTTTATGTATGTGTTTTTGTCGTGTCTCTGTAATCTGTTGCATTGTAGAAGCTCTGTCACGAAAACAAATTACTTGTATGTATGAAAATACCTGTAACTTACAATAAAGCTCTTTCTGATTCTTTGTACACTGTAAAAAAATTCCTGGTTGCCTTACATTTTTTTCAGACTGAATAATAAATTAATTAATTGGCCCAACCTGGCCATTAGATATAATCATTAG